GATTAAATAACCGTGTTTGAGGCGAGGGTTTCCCCAAGTTCCAAAGCGCAGCAGTTGACCGGGATTAGTAACACCCTTGATAACTCTGCTGTGCCATTGTCCTACCAGCTAGCGATCTTGATAAACACTGAAGCTTGCCACCGAGTGCTGTACCTCAGTGACGAGTGAATGACTGGCTTTGTCAATTGTTCAGACTTTGAAAGGGGATCTTGATTAAAACAAAGCCTTGCTGAAGTATGTTGTTTTCCTGATTTTAATACTGCGCTTTCTAGAGATGAGTCCTTTTCCTGTTTGATGCACTAAAGTCATGTAAATAATTTAAAACGAATTATTATTTTAACCCTTTGAACTTGGGGAGACAGTAAAGAAAAAGGCCGGCTTCCTGTAGTAGCTTACGTTTGCCAGTAGCCGAGCGGCCGTAGTGAGAATGTGCTCGGTGAGTGGAAATCGCCGCCCAGGTAGTGGCCAGGCCCCGGCTCTCAGGAGGTGGGCAGCGCACACCCTGTCCTGGACAGGGAGAGCAGGGACACCGGCCGGCTGCGGGCTGCGTGCCGGCCCCCGCGCCCTGCCTGCTGCCCACTGTGGGCGCCTCCAGTCAGTCTCAAGGACTTTGGAAAGAAAACAGCGTCTGCCGGGAGTGCTCTCTGTCCACGTGCAGAGCTCCTCTGTGCGTGCTGAAGTCTCCACTGGCCCGGGGCTGCAGTTCTCGTTCGCACGGGCCTAGTCAGCGCCCCTGTTTTTCACGCCCCTACGGGAGCATGGGTACAAAAATAGTTGTTCCCCTTCGTAAGCAGGCTTTGATCTCTGCACTTCCTTTGACTTGACCTCCTCAGCACGGCGGCCTGTGGCCCCTGGTCTGCACTGTGACAGCTCAGCCGGTTGGAAGGAGCAGAATGTTCGACGTGGTGGCTTTGCCTCCTCTCCCGCGCCCCTCGCCTCTGGGAAGCAATTGAAGCTGCTTTGACAAACAAGTTTACCCGGGTTTGTTTTCTTAACTGCTGCCAGGCTTCGCAAGTAAGCCACGGCCGCCGAGCAGGGCTTACTCCTGCAGCGAGGAGGCGGCTCGATAAGGCCTGGGCAGCGGGGTGCGGGAGCAGCCTGCGCCAGCGCCGCCCTTCCTGCCCAATGTGTGAGCGGCATCCCCTGGTCAGAGAGGTGAAAGTGCCGGCTGCTGGGGGAAGTGGTTGCTTCTAACCTTTAATGAGCTTGAACTTGGGAAAAGAACAGCACTGCATTTGTATGAGGACTCTGAGTCTCTGCGTGGGTCTTCGCCTGGGTCGTCCGACAGGCCAGGGTGGGGGTCCGCTGTCGCGGGCAGAGGTGACGGCAGGAGGTGACGCAGGGGTGGACAGAGTGAGTGTTCTGAAGGCGTCCTGCAGTTTGAGGGGACGAGCAAGTTACTCTGTCTCACTTTACTTTTAGGGAGGTTGTTTCCTTGGGCGAGTGGCCTTTCTGTTTGCGATGCGAAGCATCTAAGGTCCTGTGATTGCTTGATGTTCAAGGAAGAAGAGGATTTTGGAGCTGGGGCACTGACAAGCCTTCAGGGTGTCTGCCCTGAAACCACAGTTACCGCCCGCTGCTTCTTGGGAGCTGGACAGCACCCCGAAGCTGCTTCCTGCCTTCCAGGGCCGGGTTCTTGCACCTCCATAGTCCTGGCCTCCCTGTGGTGTTCTCAGCGGGGCACTCGGAAGCAGACGAACCCTGTGCATGGAGCCTGTCCCGGGAGGCCTGCAGGCGGGATGGTGCTGGCTATGCGTGGTCCAGCAAGGTGCTTGGGCCCCTTGACTGGAGGGTTGTGTGGTGGCTTGGTTTTTTCCTGATCAAAGACTGGTATCAAAACCAGATCATTTGATGAAGTTGACAGGGCATGAGCAAAGCACCCAGCTGTAGCATTTCACTAGTGAGCACCCAGCGCCCACGGGGAGTGAGAAGGTGGCGCGTCTCTCCTGAGCGCTCGGCACCGTGGCTGCGCCGTCCCTGAGCCACTGTGGCCCCGACTCTGAGCTCTCGGGAGATGCTGCGGACTTCCCCTTGTAAGCCAAGCCATGGTTTAGGAAAGATGTTGTGAAATAAATCTATTGCTCCATTGCAAATAATTTATAGTTTAACAGTTTTACAGAAAGTGTACAAATTTTCTTGCTAAAAAAAAAAGCTGCTTTTAAAAATCAAATGAAACAAGCCAAAACATGTCAAAGTCAAAACTCCAAGTGTTTGTAGATCATGGAGGGAAAATGTTGTTTAATTTAGATTATCAGCACAAGACTATCATTGTTTCAAATTTTTCTATAGCAACTAACACATTTAATGACCAGTGCTTCAAGTTTGATCTGTTTGTTGAATAGAAAGGGTTAATTCCTCGTTACCACTAGTTTATTATACTTACTTACTGTTCACCATCAGGCCAAAAATGTTATAATCAGCTTTTATTTTGACCCACACGTTCAAAAGATATTAATGTGTCTAAAATATTTATGGAGTTAGTTAAACTGGGAAAAAGCTTAATGGAGCTTTAGAGAAGAGTATAAAGGCCTTATATGTCTTATTCTTTAATAGCTGAAATCATTAAAAAGATAAATAAGGGCCCTCCCTGGTGGCGCAGCAGGTTACGGCACAGCACGAAGAGGCTAAAGCCACTTCAACCTGAGTTCAGTACACGCCCCGGAGGTGACCACATGGCGCATCGGCCCTCTCCTGACCCGCCCGCTGCTCCCCTCCACAGTGTACTTCGTCTATCGGCCTGGTTCTGCTCCCCGCTCTGTCGCCTCTGGCCTGTACCCCAGTTCTGTATGTGTAAATAAATAAATCTTTGAAAAAAAAAAAAGATAAATAAAAAGAATGGAGAACTATTGAGAGAACCAAAAGTCCTATAGTTTCAGTGCAAAATAAATCATTACTAATCTCTACCGACAAAGAAATAACCTTGTGCTGGCTGGTACATGGTAAGCGAGCAGTAATTATTTGTTGAGTGAAGGTGTGACATGTTTTCGTTTGTTTGATTTGATTTTTAAAAGCAGCTTTTTTTAAGCAAGAAGTAAAATCACATTATCATCTTCCCTTCTAAGAAGAAACAAGCCAGAATCATGATTGCTTGCTTCCTAAATATTATAGTAACTAAAACACTCTTGAAACTTACTAGAAGTAATTAATTCAAAGCACCCAGTGCCTTCCAGACGGGAAATACTTAATTGTGATAAAGGAATTTATGAATGGCAAAAAAAAAAAAGTCTCCTTTAGTTTTAGAGGCACTTAGCAAGCAAGATAATGAAGTAATTGAATAGTGAAAGGTGTTTATACAAAAAAACAGTGTAACTTTGTGGCTACACTGGCATTTTCTCTGAGTTGCATTGAAACTGTCATTTCAACAAGTGTCTCCCAACAAGGAAACTGTTAGCGACCTTCCTTTGTAATCCAAAGATTGGTGAAGCCTATCTAAACAATCACCTAAAGTAACAATAAGATGTTAGGACAACCAGAATTAAATACTTGTCACTTATTAAAAACTGGGGGCAGCGAGGTTTCCTGTAACTTTCCTCGGATGCCAGTGATTGGGGGCCATTATAACACCTGCCACCTCCTCCTGGCAGTCCTGATTAGTTCCCAGTTGTAGGATTTTAAGGAAATTGGCCTTGGAACTCAGAATCTAACCCTCCCCTCTGTGGGATGCAGTTTGTGAAGTGAATTCCAGCTTCCAGGCTAGAAAGGAGCCGGCGGCAGAGGCATTTCACGGTGCGCCGCCCTCTTCATCCACTCCGCTTTAGCCCGCTCACTTCCAGCTCTGCTCTGACTTCTTCCCACGTCACTCACAAACACCTTGGAGTTTGAAAAGTTAACTTTAAAAAAACTGTTTACAAACACAAGTATATGTAACCATGTTGGTGTTTGCCAACACACTGACGAAGAAGCAAAAGCGTTTGCTCACGCAGCCAGGACACTGGCCGCTGTCCAGCTGCCAGGCACCATGGAGGAACACAGCATCTGTGTTCGGGAGCTGTAGCGCTGTCTCTGCCCGCTGCCTCCTGTCCCCTGTCTCCTGCCCACTGTCAGCTCAGCCACGCTCCTGGGTGGGAAAGAGCATAGCCAGACTCAGACCTGCAGCCGTGTCTGTCTTTGCTGGACTTGTCAAAAATGCACAAATGATTCAAGCCAACCTCTCCTGACCCGCCCGCTGCTCCCCGCAGCAGTGCACTTCTCAGTCAGCCTGTCCTGCTCCCCTCTCTGTCTCTGGTGAATCCTCTCACCATCCCTGCACCTCTGGCCTGTACCGCAGTTCTTAGATTTGAGCCTTTTTGATGAGGCTCGTGAGCCTCTGAGGGAGAGATTTACTTCCTGTCGGCTTGAACCGAAAGAGGCCAGACGCCTGCATGAAGTCAAGCACACCTCTGTAGAAAGCGCTTCCTCAGTGATCAAAATAGGATTTGACACCTATGGTCATGTATTTGTCAGCATAGCAATTGTTTGTTTTTATCAGTCGCTGTTATGTGATTTGGACTCGATGTATTACAATGGTTTTCAATGGCAGGGCATGCCAATTCTTCACCGCCATGTTTAGAGATCAATGCTAACATATATCAGGTGTAAGAGAGGAAAGATGAAGTTACTGGCCCAGTGCTCAAGGCTGCACTTCATTTAATTAGTGAAAATACGTTACTTAATTATCTTAGAAAATATACCTTCTCAAACAAGAATTTTAGAAATGGAAAGAACAACTGTGTAATGCTTTAACATGAGTTCCTCACATTTTATTGCTATTGGAAGAATTTCCTTGGGCTTATTTTCTCAGCTGTCTATTGACATTTGATCATAAGACTTGACTTATAAACATCCGTTCTTTTTCTTCTAAACAGAGTGTAGCTACCGTGGTGAGGCAAAGGTGAAGAGGCCTCCATTCACGACGTGGAGTGTCATGCTCTTTCTGGGATGCAGGCATCTTTGTGATGTACAGTTAATATGAAGATGACACAAAGCGATTGAATTGAACGATTGTTCATACAGAGGAAATGCAAAGTAGGAGGAATGCAGAGGCAGTAAGGAATTAAAAGTTAAATTAAGCTTACCCTTCTTTAATTCTGTTGGATTGTCGGGAACGTTAGGGGAATATACAAACCTACCGATTTATATAAAATTAAAGCTATCTATAAGATAAAGTTTTTATATAATACAGTTGCCATTTTTAAGCCAATGAGAAATCTAGGAAAATACTTTTGGGAAGAGATAGATTAAAATGAACCCAAAATAGGGGCCCTCCCTGGTGGTGCAACAGGATAGGGCGCAGCACCGTGCAAGCAGGCTGCAGCCGCCTCCATGTGAGTTTGATCCCAGCCCGGAGCTGACCCCCAGGGCGCGGCAGCCCTCTCCTGACCCGCCCGCTGCTCCCCTCAGCGGCGCTTCCTACATCGGCCTGTTCTGCTCCCCACTCTGTCTCTGGTGAAGCCTCTCACCGCCCTGCACCTCTGGCCTGCACCGCAGTTCTGTGTGCATCAATAAATAAATCATTTTTTAAAAATGAACCCAAAATATAGCTAATCCCATACCATATCCATTTAGTGCATTTATTCATTATGCTGCAAGCACATAGTGAGGTCTGTCAATCAGATACGGTTAGGTTTAATCAAGTGCTTTCAACCTAAGAGACCAGGCAGTTTGGCCAAAACAAAAGGGCAATATAACAACAACTAAAGGCTGAAGGGGAAAGTCCACTATAAAATTAGCTCTTGAGTTTTATTTTAGCATTGAATGTGATAAAGAAAAATATTGTAGAAAGTAGCCTCAATGGCGGAGGATGAGTTGTAGACCGTAGCTGAAGGGGGGCGCCTTGGTGGGAGGCCTGAGAGGTGCCCTTAGTCCAGCTGTTGCAGGCGTTCCGCCATGGGCTCCTCTTGGTTCTGTCTGACTGCAAGCCACGGTTGTGGGATGGGCCTTCCACTCTGGAGGTGCGTTAGAAGTCACCCATGAGGAAGCAGCACGCACACGCTGGGAGGCTGACACCCAGGCCTGGGCGGGCACGCGAGCGGTCTCTGCCCTGGCGGGTGGGCGCTTTCCCTGCCAGCCCTCCCATGTGTTTGTGCAGTCCCTGGATGGGCCTGGCACGAGACTGCAGGACGCCTGCCGTAGCAGCTCCTGGCGACTTAAAGGCCGCCCCTGAGTCGTCTCCCCCGTCAGCTGGTGCAGGCAGGGCCACACTCTTCCTGTCGGAGAGCTTGCAGTAGGTAGGAGTCAGGCCTGGTCAGTCCGTGCCATCTGGCAGGGTCGGCGGGTGGCTTGGCGGGGGTCGTGCTGAGTTCCAAGTGTCTGGTCCACGGGGCCCGGTTGTTCCCAGCCATGGAAACAGTTAAATGTTGCGGTCCGGCCATGTCTTCCCTCCGGGGGAATGTCAGGCCCCGACCCCCCACCCCGTGCCTGCTGCGCACAGGGCCTGGCCGTGAGCCCCCTGCGTGGCCCAGCACCGGCCTGGCTATCGCTTGGCGCGCTTGCTCCTCACCAGCACCTGGCACTTCGGCCTCGGCCCTCCTTCCTCCCAAAGCCTCTCCTTTGCATCCTGCAGCGGCTGGGGGCCTCATCCCGGCTTCGCTCCCTCCCTGCGGCGGCCTGGAGCTGGGCTCCCGCTGCCAGTCCAGGCACGCCGAGGCCTCATGTGCTGTGGCGATCCGCGTGCTGCGTCCTGCCCATGTCACACCTCCCTCCCTGCTCCCCACCCACCCCACTTCTCAGCTCATACCCACCGACTTTCAGTTCCTTCTCCAGCGTGTCTCACTTTGCATCCCCTGCGTGTGCGCCTGCGTGAGGAGGGCGCCCGTGCTCGCTCCTCAGCCCCCAGGGGGTGGCAGCCTGTCTGCCCCTCCGGCCGGCCCCTGTTCCCCGTGAGGACTGTGTGCGCCTCGCCTGTGTGCTCTGCCTCCGTAGCCTTTCTAGACAGACACGGAAGATCCAGCCCTCTCCCTTTCCGTCCGCACAGTGCCTGGTAAGTTTGCTGCAGGAGTGAGTGACCAGAAGCAGCAGCGGGTGCTAGCGGCCCGACACTGGCTTCTCTGTGTCTCATTTCCTCTTTGTAGGTGACGGGTTAAGCAGGGCATGGCTCTTCTGAGCGCGCGCTCTCTGCGTTCCTTAGAGGACTGCAGATTGCCGTGTGGAGCTGGGTGGCCGAGGGGCAGCCCTGACCCTCAGTGCATGTGAGGAGGAGCAGGGGCCCCGAGCTGCTCCCTATGACCAGACTGCTGGGGGTGAAGGGCCGCGCTTTCTCAGTCGTCTCCTGCTCGCTCACATTCAGGCTTCTCCAAAGAAATGGAATGCAAACTGGATGTAGAAATCAGCTGTTCTCATTGGAATTCTAAATGGGCTCAAGACCTTACTGATAAAGATTTGGATGAGGAAAAAAGGAAAGTGACCCTGGTGTGAGGTCATAGCAAGAACACGATGTCTAAACTAGATCGCAGTAGTGAGATAAGCAGAGTCTGGGAGGTATGACAAGGACCCCCAGGAACTCTGAAGGAGACAGCGAGGAGGGCCAAGCGTCTCTGAGGTGGCGGCGTCTCTGCTGCTCCCCTCTGCACAGCGGCTTTCTCTCTTACCCACTAATTCGTCTGAAGTGGGCTGTGTCCTTGCTCTGTGCTGGCTTCTGGGTACTGGGAATCCAGTGCCGAACAGGACAAAACTCTGAATTCATGAAGCTTAGGTGAGTCATGTTTTCTGTTTTAAAAACTTTCTTTATCCGTTAGCCTCTTTCAACCTGAAGAATCCCAAATCTTAACAAATGCATAGGTTGAATCCCTCCCTGGTGGCACAAGAGGTTAGGATGCAGCACTGCAAGCTGGCCGCAGCCGCTTCAGTGCTAGTTCAGTCCCTGCCCCGGAGGTGACCCACATGGCGCGGCAGACCTCTCCTGACCCGCCCGCTTCTTCAATCTGCTTGTTCTGCTCCCCACTCTATCTCTGATGAGTCCTCTCACCGCCCCTGCACCTCTGGCCTGTACCTCAGTTCTGTGTGCGTAAGTAAGTAAATCTTTAAAAAAAACGCACAGGCTGAGAGACTGCAGCTTGAATGATGTCGCTGCCGCAGGACCACGCGAGCAGAGCTGGGAGCCCTCCCCAGGCAGGCCTGACCACCGCGCACGTTTAGAAGCATCCACCGCGAGGTCTGGACTGCGTGCGCACCGACTCACCGCCCCTGTTGGTTCACGTCCCCCCAGGTGACAGAGTGAGTCCCCACTAAAGCCTCTACGGCGTGTCCCAGGGAGACCTTTGCTGTGGGGCGCAGCCTGTTCGCTCTTCCTCACGCCACAGGGACGACAGTGAGGGTATAGTAAGCCCCCCACTTTGTCACAGTGACTTGTTACTTACTCGTTCAAATTAGCATTTTACTTACTGCCAGGCAGTCAAGGTCACTGACGGAGACGTGGGAGGACAGTGTTGACCCAGCCCCCCAGGTACGGGGCAGGTTCCTCGCCACCTCAGCGCAGAGCCTTCCGCCGTGGTAGGACCTGGTCGCTTGTACGGGAGGGGACGATTACCGTTCCACGTGAATTAAGGTGACAGCGGTCCCGACCCAGAGCTCACTCTGAGTGGGAACGCTGTGGTCTGGGCGAGCGGGGCCGGCAGTGGGCAGTGGGCAGTCTCTTCCTGCTGCTCACCTCGCGCGCTCAGAGCTGCCCCTGGGGCCCGGGGCTGTGACCTGCTGTCCATGTGGCAAGACCGTCTTAGCTAGATTGAAGGCGGGAAAGGTCCCCGCGTAGGTGGGATTTCGGTGCTTGCAGGTAACTGTTTTAGTGCGTCTGTAATTGGGGGCTACAGAAACAGCCCTCATCCCATCCGCTCAGCCAGATGCTGCTGGCTCCCAAGATGAGGCCTTTTCTTTTGCTCTGGATATTGAGGGCCAGTAAAAGTTAAACCCCAAACTGAAGTCGTCATATTTACAGAAAGAGAATCTGATCAGTTTGAACAAGAGAAAAATAGTCTTCAACAAGAGAGAAATGTGTAACCTTATGAGGTCTTCCCTTATTATCTGAAAACAGATACTCCAAATGATACTCAACACAAAGGCTAGACATGAACTTAACGTCCTGGCGTGAGTTTTGGTAAAGGCTGTTTCAGGGCAGTCTCAGCCCGGTGAGATTGAGGAGGCCCAGCTGTTTCACGCCCCCGACCCTCACCCCACATGCACAGCCCCCCCCACCCCGTCGTCAGCACCCTCAGATGGTCTGCTTGTCACCACTGGGGGCCAGCGTGGACGCGCCCTGGCCCGAGTCCACAGCTGACCCCGGGCTCACCCCTGCAGGGGTGGTTCATGGAAGCACTTTCTCTGCCCCGACATCCCTGCGCTCTGCCAGGCCCTCCCTCCCCTCGTCCCGGCACACTCTGCTTTCAGGGAAGACACACCCGTAGAACTAGAATTGTGGAAGCAAACGGTTCCGAGCAAGGCCCAGTAGTCAGGTCCCTGTCTCAGGCTGCCGATGACAGCCTCAGCGCCGGCAGTGTGTTGAGCTGGGCTCTGTGGGAGCGGGAGGCAGCCATATTCCAGGGCCGCCCGGACCCCACCCCGTAGCTGGAACAGTCAGAGCTGCTCCGGCTCCACAAACTGATGGTCGTCAGGCTTGATCCTATGACCATGTCAACAGAAGGAAATTTTAGAGTGGAATCTGCCATTTAACTGCGTGACATTTAATTATAATATGATTAGAAAATATCCCAAACATCTTTTTGATCCCATAAATTTCAGTCACCTATAATTAAGAAAACAACCCCGGGCAAAGTGCTGCTGCTCCCGAGCACATTGGCACGCGCCCAAGCCCCCTGTCGGCGGGGCCCGCCCCCCACCGGTACAGGGGACGGGACACAGCAGGAACGCGCTCCTCCTTAGAGCACGGGGTCACGTTCGCTGGGTTGCGGGTTCTGAGAGGTACTGCCCCGCCCGTACATCTTGGCTTGATGAGGTGCATTTCTAGAAATCCCTGTCACAGCCTTCTCACTTCTGTGGTGTCTGGGTCCGGAGTCTATGTGCCTCGCTCAGGCTCCGGCCTGGTCTGTCTGGATGA